ACATATAATTTCAAAAAAAATAATTATTAAAAAAAACGTTTAAAAGATCTTCCGTAGCTTTACAAATTCTTTTTTGGAGTATATTCATTATTTTCACCTCACTGCTACAAAAAAAAAGAAAATACTTTCATAATACATACACTGCGGATCTTGATTTTTTTTAATTTTTTTTTTTTTAAATTCCTGTTCAGGGAGATAACTTCCGTTTGTTTACGATACTAATTGATCGATTATTTAACCACGGCAGGGACAGGTAGGTGATGAATTTCCCGCGGAGGGAACGCGGTTTACCTGTCTCACCTGGCCAAATCCCGCATTGTGTTTATACCGCGACGGCGCGGGAAATACGGGATCCGCGTTGCCTGTACTGTACTTGAATCTACACTACCTGAGGATGCTTCCATATAAATATTACCAATCAGGGCTTAGCTGTTTTTGAGAAGAAGATTTTTTAAAGATTTTGCCTTTATATCTCTATGTAAAACTTTGATCGTCCATTGTGGCCCTGCCCTACCACCAGGGGTCATGATTTGAACAAACTTGAATCTACACTATCTGAGGATGCTTCCATATAAATATGACTCATGACGACTTTGCTGTTCTTGAGAAGAAGATTTTTAAAGATTATTCCTATATATTTCTATGTAAACTTTGATCATCTATTGTGGCCCAGCCCTACCTCCAGGGGTCATGATTTGAACAAACTTGAATCTACACTACTTGAGGATGCTTCCATATAAATATGACCAATCAGGGCTTAGCTGTTCCTGAGAAGAAGATTTTTAAAGATTTTTCCTATCCATATCTCTATGTAAAACTTTTATCGTCCATTGTGGGCCCACCCTACCCCTGGGGGTCATGATTTGAACAAACTTGAGTCTACACTACCTGAGGATGTTTCCATATAAGTCTCATCTTCCCTGGTCTAGTGGTTCTTGAGAAGATTTTTAAAAGATACCATTAATTTTTCACTAATTCTTAATTATCTCCCCTGGGAAGGTGTGGCCCTTCATTTGAACAAACTTGAATCATCTTTACCCAAGGATAGTTTGTTGCAAGTTTGGTGGAAATTGGCCCAGTGGTTCTTGAGAAGAAGTCGAAAATGTGAAAAGTTTACGCACGACGCACACCCGCACGCCGACGGACGAAAACAGATAGCAATAGGTCACCTCAGTGAATAAGGTGACCTAAAAATGTGTATTTCCTGATGTAACATTTCTTTTGATAGGTTACTGCATTACTCTTGCATTTGTAGGGATCATCTCCCTTAAAAAATATATTTATATTTTATTATTATACCTCTGTGAATTTTTTTCTAAATAAAAATATGACGAATAAACATGCTATTTTTTCCAAACAGCTCCTACCGTGGAATAGTTTTTGTGCTATTTGCCCATGGTGAAATAGTCATTAAACTATTCACAGGCAGCATTCTGTTTCCCTCGCTTTTCATCTGGAACTCTTGTGGTTTTATCCAGATTGTGATGTAACACAAGTAAAAGCTGCTTCGGTATAATAAAACACCTATTTACTGACTATTCGGACAATAGCAAGTTTATCGCCCCCCTTGACAGCAACTATTTCCCTCGGCTGCACCTCGGGAAATAGTTGCTGTCTTGGGTGACGATAAACTTGCTATTGTCCTCATAGCCAGTAAATAGGTGTATAATATTGCCTTCATTAAAGGTCACAGCGACCTTAATGAAGGATGTGACACACCTGCTTAAGATGCATTAGCTATCCAAGTTTCATGTTTCAAATAATTTCCCAGTTATGAGCAAGACATGATTTTGCCATATTTGACAATATCATCTTCATAAGTAATTTAAGATCACAGTGACCTTAATGAAGGACATGAGTAACTATGTATTTTAAGAACTGTGAACGACAGTATTGTTCCGTCACATACCTTAAACCAATTTTAAAAATCAGCAAATTTGAATGATTTTTTCATATTTATATACAGGTGACTCTCGATGGCTCGAACTCCGATCTCTCGAAGTTCTCGATCTCTCGAAGTGAACCTCCGGTCCCGTTTTTTTCCTGTATATAACTAAGCAAATTTACTTCCGATCTCTCGAACTTCCAATCTCTCAAAGTTCTCTATCTCTCGAACCAAGACCTGGGTCCCGTTACACACATTTCATTGTTTTTTACTCTCTATCTCTTGAAGTTTTGATTGCGCTTTGTACACGCCAATCAAGCGTGAAATTAATGCAGCTTGGACTTACCTGGATAACAGTGAACGCCTGGGGCTGGCATGGAGGTGTTAATTGGGTGTTTACATAGATGACACTATACCTGTGAGCATCTGAGTGTTGATATAAATAATTGGTTATAATTGGTAAATTATAAACGAATTGCTTCAGAACTTATTTTTGACTTGACAGCGCGACGAAAATTTTTAGAAAATAATTTAAGAGGCGTGTCAATAATTTTCCATAGATTATGAAATTTTTATTAGAATGTACATAATCCCAGTATGACAAACATTGCACAAGAAATCCTATCTCAAGAATTAAATACCGATTTAATACGAGAAATCTGTTAAAGTACCCGATCAGGCCCGTGGGTTAGCCACACCGACGATTGATATTCAGATTTTATGTAATCATGAAATAGGAACAAATAAATATTGAAACTTAAAGAGATCGTTTTATTTATTCAAAATACGATCATTGTTGTTGAAATCAAGTGAATTATCTGTAAACTACGAATGAAAACGTGCAATGCTATTATCAACATATACTTCCGGTATTTATAATAGTAGAACAATGATGATCGGAACTGAAAATTCCGGATTTTATTCACTTTCTATCTCTCGAACCCCTCGATCTCTCGAACTTTTCTTGCAGTCCCTTGAACTTCGAGAGATCGAGAGTCACCTGTATATATATATATATTTATGTGAAATTTCCTAAACATAACTTAATTGGGAAAACAGAGAGAGATAACTCTACAATTTTGGTAAAAATTGTGTTTTTCATTTTAGAAAACAACGGAAAATGGTAAATATTTTTAAAACATCTTTACCTTTGTGAAACAAAAATTTCTATTTACAAGCATTATGAATGTTATTCCACAAATTCATACCAAAGCTTTTGTTTTTTCAATGGGGAACATATATTAACAGACAATAAACAGTAAAAATAGTCATTTTATTTCCCATTTCAATTGAGATTACAAATTAAAACAAGAGGCCCAGGGGCCACATCGCTCACCTGAGCACTGTGGCTAGGAAAAAAACAAAAATCAGTTGAGTATTGAAAAGCTTTTTCTTATGTATTCCTATGTAAAACTTTGATCGTCCACTGTGGTCCCACCCTACCCTAGGGAGTCATGATGTGAACAAACTTGAATCTACACCACCTGAGGATGCTTTCACATAAATATGACCAATCATGGCTTTGCAGTTCTTGAGAAGAATTTTTGAGATTTTTCCTATATACTCCTATGTTAAACTTTGATCATCAATTGTGGCCCCACCCTACCCCCAGGGGTCATGGTTTAAACAAACGTGAATCTACACCTCCTGCAGATGCTTCCATATAAATGTGACCAATCATGGCTTTGCTGTTCTGGAGAAGAAGAATTTTTAAGATTTTTCCTATATACTCCTGTGTTAAACTTTGATCATCAATTGTGGCCCTATCCTACCCCTGGGGATCATGATTTGAACAAACTTGATTCTACACCACCTGAGGATGCTTTCACATAAATATGACCAATCATGGCTTTGCAGTTCTTGAGAAGAATAATTTTTAAGATTTTTCCTATATACTCCTATGTTAAACTTTGATCATCCATTGTAGCCCCACCCTACCCCCAGGGGTCATGATTTGAACAAAAGTGATTCTACAACACCTGAAGATGCTTTTACATAAATATGACCAATCATGGCTTTGCAGGTCTTGAGAAGAATAACTTTTAAGATTTTTCCTTTATACTCCTATATTAAACTTTGATCGACCATTGTGGCCCCACCCTACCCTCAGGGATCGTGATTTGAACAAACTTGATTCTACACCACCTGAGGATGCTTCCATATAAATATGACCAATCAATGCTTTGCTGTTCTTGAGAAGAAGAATTTTAAAGATTTTTCCTATATATTCCTATGTTAAACTTTGATCGTCCACTGTGGCCCTGCCCTACCCCCGGGGATCATGATTTGAACAAACTTGAATCTACAGTACCTGACAATGATTCTACATGAGTTTACATCTTTCCTGGCCCATTGGTTCTTAAGAAGAAAATTTTTCAATGATGCCATTAAATTTTCACTATTTTGTAATTATCTCCCCTTGGAGGAGGGCATGACCCTTCATTTGAACAAACTTGAATCCCCTTTACCCAAGGATACTCTGTGCCAAGTTTAGTTGAAATTGGCCCAGTAGTTCTGGAGAAGAAGATGAAAAGTGAAGATTTTACAACAACGATGCCAACGATGACAGACAATGGACAAATTTCGATCAGAAAAGCTCACTCGAGTCTGAAGGCTCAGGTGAGCTAAAAATGTACTTTATCAATGTTAAATTTAAATTTTATATGTTAAATTTAACTTGATTTAAACACACCGACAGATTTAAGGGTCATTTATCCATTTCTTTAAGTATTTGAAAATCTAGTGAGTTTTAAAGCCCGATTTCAAACCATAAAATGTTTTATCCCCTTATGAAAAGAGTTGAAAAAAAGAGCTATTACCTGTTTGACACTGGTTTTAAAATAAATCTTTTACTAATATACAATTCTTTGCATTCAAATAAGTTTTTATGGCCAATTTGCCAATAATTTCGAATTAGATGTAATATGTAGGCAGGGATTAAGAGTTAGCATGCATAGTTCTTTGGCAGATGCCATCCACTGAAATTAAGAGTTAGAGACTAGATCTTTAATTCTTCTCCCCAGTGCAATGGCAGTACCTTCACAGAAAAACTGAAAACATTTTAGATGTACATTAACTATTTAGCACGACATTTTGTATTTTACACAATGCAAACCTGGATATGGTATTCTTCCATATGTAACTATTTCTGTAAGGAGAATTCCAAATGACCAAACATCTGACTTGATGGTAAATCTGTTGTAGTTGGCTGCTTCAGGTGCAGTCCACTTAATGGGAAAGCGAGCTCCTACCCTTGCTTCATATTCATCCTCCTAAGAAGGAACATAAAAAATATATGTTGTTTGTGTGTTGAAAATTGTCAGCAGGCAATATACAGTAAAACACAGATACAGCAAACATGATTATAATGACTTATAACAAAGTGATTTTCATTTCCCATAATTCTAAATTATATTGTAAAGTAAATGGATATAACAAATTACTTTTATAACAAATTAAAATTGTTCATCCCTTGCACTTTGCATGTTTTACTGTATGTGTTGAAAATCATGACTTCATTTCTCTTCCCCTATTTTCACTGCTATGTTCATATATTAGTGCTATGCATATTTTTAAAACAAATATACTCCATTAGCAAATCTACACTCATTTCAACAATATACATTTGCTCATTGACTTGCTTTTAAATACATGCAATATCTACAATTACTTGCTCAAATTAATTTCTGAATCTGAATTCACAGTTACCTTTATTACTCTGGCTAGTCCAAAGTCAGCTATTTTGACAGTGTTATTGTCTGTTACGAGTATATTACGAGCTGCCAAATCTCGGTGTATGTAGTTCTGTGATTCAAGATAGGCCATGCCACTTGCAATCTGTGCTGCTATGTCAATCAATTGTGGAAGTTTAAGTGTTCTGCCTTTGCCTTAAAAAAAAAGGACATTATTTTGCAATCAGATCTTTTGTTTTTCCAAGACTATCAAAATTTGATGCTAAATATCTTTTTAAAAAAATACCAAAGGTAATCAGAGATTACAGAGCTCACCTCAAAGAATGTTGTCTTTGAGTAAGGCAAAGTTCCACATTAAACTAATAATCTAGTAGTGTACATCCAAAGATGCAACATTTATGCAATTTTGATCTGAGAGGGCTTGCAGTTACTTGGGAATGCACTTATCCCAAATCTTCAAACTAGTCACTCATCCAGAAAATGTAATTCAAATCCAGCATCTGAAGCAAGTTTGGTTCAGATAGGCCTTATAGTTTCTTGGCAATGGACCTGCGCCAAAAACATTAACCTGGTCACTCGTCTGGAAAATGTGGGTCAAATCCAGCATCTGAAGCAACTCAAGTTGTGTGCATCCTTAGAAGTATCATTCATGCAAGTTTGGTCAAGGTATGGCAAACAGTAATTTAAAATGAACCTTCTTCAAAAAATTTAACCTGGTCACTCATCTTAAAAAAGTAGGCTGGATTCAGCATCCAAAGCAAGTCCAGTAGTGTGCATCCTTAGATGTATCATCTATGCAAGTTGGTCAACATAAGCCTTATAGTTACTTTAGAATGAACCTGCTCCAAAAACTTTAACCTGGTCACTCAACCTGAAAATATAGGTCAGATCCAGCATCCAAAGCAAGCCTGTTAGTGTGCATGCTTAGATGTTCATCATGAAAGTTTGGTCAGCATAAGGCTTATAGTTACTTAGAAATGATACCTGCTCCAAAAACTTCAACCTGCTCCAAAAACATTAATCTGGTCATTCCTTAGCTGAAATTGCACTATCTGAAACCTTGCAGGCGTGCAGCTGCCTGCACGCAAGTACGCAAATGCATACAAATTATTTTCAAAAATAAAAATGGAATTTAAGAGAAAGTTTTGCAGAGAAAGAAATGTACCATCCATTTAAGTTTAAAATTATTTTGTGTCATTTTGTTCCGATTCAAATTTAATACAATAATTAAATTTGAAATCTTTGTAATAAATCACTGTCAAATCCAAATAAATTATTTATTGATATGCAAATGTTCTGTAACACATGGCTAATTTTTAAAAGATCTTTGAGAAATGAAATTTCAATCACATCGTAGAATGGTTTCATATTCTAATGCATGATTTAAATACGGTATTTTTTGTTATTAACATTTATAATATTTGTTGCTGAGCGTTGAAAAAGAGTATACAATACAAACATATATATATATCCGTATAATCCCTATTAACCGCCCCGGGCACTTAGAAAATTGCGAAAATGGGGCGGCTATTTTGGTATTCTAGTTATAATTTTTTACGTCATATTTTAACTTCAAAAAATCTTTTGAAAACTAGAAATATGTCCATAGGACATGAATGTCCCACCCAGGGTATATTAGTAATGCAACATGAAAATTTGTATTAGTGTATGAAATTTGATGAGAATATCTTGAATAGTTTCTTTAAAACTGAAATCTAAAAAGTTGGATATAGATGATAAATTCTCACCAAATTATGTATAAGTGCATAAACTTACATAAATATATCTTAAATGATTTCTTTAAAACTAAGCAAAATACAAATTTAAGAAAAGTGAGGTCAAGGTCACAGAAAAAGTTCAAGGTCAAACATTTTTGATGCAGTTGAATAGTTCTCACAAATATGTATCAGCATATTAAAGGTGCTTAGACACAGATTTGAAGTTAATATTTACTCAAATTTTCTGTATAATTTCATGATTTATATGTTGCTATAGCATTTCATACGAAAATTTGATAAAAATCTTATTTTATCTGGAAGTTATTGAAACTTCAAATTTCTGGATGCGTTTGATAGACACATCCTTGCACTTTCACAAATTTTAACTTTATCCTTATTACTTTAGAAAATTAGCAATTTTGTTTTTTATTAATGAAAAATATTAAAACTATAATGCAGAAATTTCAGAGTAGAAATGTAGAAAGCAAAATCCTCTCACCAGTATTGTCAGTCCGTGCTCAGTGGTGTGTGCAGAGTTTAACAATGAAACACACCCGGTGAAACGTAAACATTAACAACAACAGAGCTCGTGCCCGGTTTACAAAAACGGTTTACGTTTCATGGGTGTATTCAATTTGTTCAACTCTGTACACAACTACACAACACTGAGCACGGTCTGACAATACTTAAGTGAGTGGGTTTTGCTTTCGCACAATTTTACTCTGAATTTTCTGGATTATAGACGTAATATTATTCATTAATACACAACAAAATTGCTACTTTTCTTAAGTATTAAGGATAAAGTTAAAAATTGTGAAAGTGCAAGGATGTGTTAATCAAATGCCTCCTGAAATTCGTAGTTTCAATAATTTCCAGATTAAATAAGTTTTTAATTTTATTTTCGTGTGAAATGCTATAGCAACATATAAGTTGTGATATTATACAGAAAATTTGAGAAAATATAAATTTCAAATCTGTGTCTATGCACCTTTAAGTTTGATGAAAATATTTTGAATGGTTTATTTGAAACAGAACTATACACTAATTTAAAATAAATGAAGTTAAGGTCAAAGGAAAGGTCAAGGTCAAAAAATGTTGATGCAGTTGAAAAGCTTACATCAGTATGTATTAGCATATGAAGTTTGATAAAAATATTCTGAATGGTTTCTTTAAAAATGAGTTAAACACAAATTGAGAAAAGTGAGGTCAAGGTCAAAGGAAAGGTCAAGGTCAAAAATGTTGATGCAGTTGAATAGCTTACATCAGTATGTATCAGCATATGAAGTTTGACACTAATTTAAGAAAAGTGAGGTCGAGGTCAAAGGAAAGGTCAAGGTCAAAAAATGTTGATGCAGTTGAATAGCTCTCATCAGTATATATCAGCATATGAAGTTTGATAACACTATCCTGAATGGTTTCTTTAAAACTGAGCTAAACAATAATTTAAGAAAAGTGAGGTCAAAGTCAAAGGAAAGGTCAAGGTCAAAAAATGTTGATGCAGTTGAGTAGCTCTCATCAGTATATATCAGCATATGAAGTTTGATAACACTATCCTGAATGGTTTCTTTAAAACTGAGCTCAACAATAATTTAAGAAAAGTGAGGTCAAGGTCAAAGGATAGGTCAAGGTCAAAAAATAATGATGCAGTTGAATAACTCTCATCAGTATATATCAGCATATGAAGTTTGATAAAAATATCTTGGATAGTTTCTTTAAAACTGAGCTAAATACCAATTTAAGAAAATGAGGTCAAGGTCAAAGTAAAGGTCAAGGTCAAAATGTTGATGTAGTTGAATAGCTCTCATCAGTATGTATCAACATATGAAGTTTGATAACACTATCTTGAATGGTATCTGTAAAACTGAGCTAAACACTAATTTAGGAAAAGTGTGGTCAAGGTCAAAGGAAAGGTCAAGGTCAAAAAATGTTGATGCAGTTGCATAGCTCTCATCAATATCTATCAGCATATAAAGTTTGATAAAAATATCTTGGATAGTTTCTTTGAAACTGAGTTTTGAACTGAGCTAAATGCAAAGCGCGTCGGAAGGATAGATGGAAGGATGGAAGACGAATGTGACAAACACTATATGCCCCCGCCATATTCATGGTGGGGCATAAAAAATATATTCAGAGAACCACTAAAAGATTGTCTTAACTTTCCTTTAAGTTAAGATAATCCATCGAAATTATGCTATATGATTCATTATTAGAGAATACACAATGAGAACAAATTTTTTAGGTAACTTTCACTTTCAGAAATACATAATGATTAGGTCGTTCTAAAAATCTTTCACTTTCAGGAATACTTTACATATCATTTACCCAATAACCAAGTTTCATTTTCACTTTCTTCAAATTATGGTGGACTTTCAATACGATTCTAGATGATTTTAATCACTGTACAGGGGGCCCTTATTTCCCGACAATTGAAAAAGACCTAGGGGGCACTTATAGGGGCAGGGGCGGTTAATAGGGATTATACGGTATATATACATGGATCGGTAAAATATTCAGCCTCAATTATATGTACAATATGTCTCCAAGGAAGTATTAACGTATTTAAAAACAGTATTACCAAGTCATTTATTTTGTAAAGAAAACCGAAATAGCATGATTTTTTTTTCAAGGAAAATGATTGAAATACTTGGTGAAACCCAAGAGCATCTGGGGACTTTTCCCCCTGGGCCCCACCAGAGCTTTTCCTGGACCTACTGGGGTCTCACGGTGGCCAACAGACCCTGTGCTGCTCTCTGTGTACACTTCAATTCAGACGACGCACTTGCATTGACTGGTACAATGAAACAACTAGAAGCATCTTCCATGCCTCTTTGATTAATGTACGGTATAGAAGTACTTAAAAAGAAAACTGCACTAAAAACTTTTAACCTGGGACACTGATGGTATCACAAAAGCTCCCACAAACTTCGTTGAGGTGAGCTAAGAATTATTGGAAACTTCTGTTGTACCTTACCTTGTAAAAATTCAAGTAAGCTTCCATGCCGCATGAGTTCTGTAATGATGTAAATTGGCTCATCTTGTGTACAAACTGCATATAGCTGTATCAGCTTTGGATGCCTGAGCTTCTTCATTATCTGAGCCTCAGCCAGGAAATCTTTTGGATCCATAGTACCTTAAAAAAATAAAGTGCCCTGTCACAGCATGATGTGCCCGTCAAATATTGTTCAATTATCAGAAACAGTTTAGGGTGCAAGAAAATCATGTCAACCTTAATTCAAAGATTTCCATGACTTTTCCATTCCTTATAATATTTGATGTTTATACATTTCCTGTAGTGCAGGCACTAATTATAACAAATTTCTCAACTGGTTGTGTTAGACCTTGACAAATGCCCATCTGCAGCCCCCTCCCTCTCCCCCCTTCATATTTATTTGATATTTTAAAAAAATTAAATAAAAATTTCATATTAAACAATATCAAAATAGTCTTAACAATTTAATCTATATCAAATTAATTTTGAAAATAAAAGGCTGGCCATCAAATGACATATGCTATAAACTGACAAGCAGTTTTTCTGTCTAATTCCCAAAGGATACAGATAAGAGCTGCTTGATCAGAGATGCTCTAACAGAAATGATTGAGACAGCTAACCTTCCTATACATTGAACTCATTAATTATAATCTTTAACTGGATGCATGTCCATTCATTACTCCCAAGGGATGAATGGATCTGCACTATCTGCTTTAATAGTCTGTATTGTAATAAAAATGCATATTTATGTAATTCTGTTAAAAACAGAACTTTGTTTTTAACTTGTTACAAAGATTTATAACAAGAGGCCCAAGGGCCTTGAATCGCTCTTCTGATAAACTGTACAACCTATCACTTCTATTTGAAGCTTCTAAGTATCCTGTATATTTAGATAAAGCCTTAAAATTCCAAAGGTAGGTCATCATGACCTACATTTTAGATGAAACACTCTGAGAACCCAAAATGATTCTAAGCCAATTAGTACCTGAGAAATGGTCATGGTGACTTACTTATCACTTGTTATTCTCTGAGGACCCAAAATGCATCAACTAAGTTTGATGATTCTAAGCCAATTAATACCTAAATATTTTTAAAAATTATAACCATCGAATTTCAAAAGTAGGTCACAGTGACCTTTTTTTCAGATTACATACTTTGAGGACCCAAAATGCATCAACTGACAAAGTTTGATGATTCTAAGCCAATTAGTACCTGATATATTTAAATAAAGTCATAAAATTTCAAAAATAGGTCACAGTGACCTTCTTTTCAGTTGACTAAGTCTGCAGACCCAAGATGCATCAACTGACAAAGTTTGGTGATTCTAAGCCAATTAGTACCTAAAAATATATTAATAAATAATAATATTAATAAAATATTTAAATAAAGCAATAAAATTTCAAAAGTAAGTCACAATGACCTACGTTTCCATCAACTTACTCCGACGACCCAAGTTGCATCAACTGACAAAGTTTGATGATTCTAAGCCAAATAGTACCCGAAAATATTAAATACAGCAATAAAATTTCAAAAATAGGTCAAGGTGACCTAATTTTCAGTTGTCGTACTCCAAGGACCCAAGATGCATCAACTGACAAAGTTTGATGATTCTAAGCCAATAAGTACCTGAAATATTTAAATAAAGGCATAAATTTTCAAAATTAGGTCATGGTGACCTGCTTTTCAGTCGATTTTCTCCCAAGACCCAAGATGCACCAACTGACAAAGTTTGATGATTCTAGGCCAATTAGTTACCGAAATATTTAATTATAGTCATATAAATTGAAAAGCAGGTCACGGTGACGTACTTTTCAGTCGACCTACTATGAGGACCAAAGATACATCAGCTGACAAATTTTGATGATTCTAAGCCAAATAGTACCCTAAATATTTAAATATAGCCATAAAATTTCAAAAGTAGGTCACAGTGACCTACTTTTCAGTTGACATTTTTCGAGGACCCAAGAAACATCGACTTACAAAGTTTTATGACCATAGGCCTTAAAATGTCCAAATTATGCCTCTAAAACGCTTTGAAATCGAATGCCTGCAAAGTTCAAAAAGTAGGTCACTGTGACCTACTTCTTAATAAATATGTTTTGAGGCCCCAAGATGCATCATCTTACAAGATTTAATGATTCTAAACCTCCCAGTATTCAAATTAATGGCCTTAATTGTTTTGAAAAAGATAAGCCATAAAATTCAAAAAGTAGGTCAAGGTGACCTACTTTTTAGTCGACATACTCCGAGGACTCCAGATGCATCAACTGACAAAGTTTGATGATTTAAGGCCTTAAATTGTTCAAAATATGCCTCTAAATCATTTTGAAAAAGAATGGCTGCAAAATTTTAAAAGTAGGTCACCGTGACCTAATTTTGAGTCAACAAGATATGAGGTCCTTAGATGCCTCAACTGACAAGATTTGATGATCCTAGTCCTTATAGTAAGCAAAATATCAACATTTTAATAAAATGTAATTTTTGGTCAACTTTGAAGTGACCTTGAGACCACGCCCTTTGTCCCAGGGTGATGCCTTGAATAATTTTTTATCTACAACATATCCTCATCATTTTGTGTAAGTTTGGTGATAATCTGCCCAGTGGTTCTTGAGAAGAAGATTTTTTAGCAACCAGTACTTTTCTTTCTATTTTCCTAATTATCTCCCCTTGTTTAAGGGTCACAACCCTAGTTTTAGTATAAACGGGAGCCCTTGGGCCAAGGATGCCCTGTGACAAATTTGACAATAATTGGGCAAGGGGTTCTTGAGTTATGGCCCATATTCTAAAAAGTTTATGCACACCGCACAAATGGCCATAGCGTTAGCTCTTTGAGCCTTTGGCTCAGAAGAGCTAAAAAGAAACAAAAACTTGTGTAAACTTGATGCAATATTTTTAATAAGGTTACTGCATGACTCTTAGATTTGTAGGAACTATCTACCATAAAACATTTTAAAAAAAAAAAAAAACTTGATTTCTTTGAGATTTAATGTCAGACTGGTTTTAAGCTGCAGTTCATATTGACAAACAGACAACCGACACGCTGATTCCAATATCCCCCCCTATAATTATATAATATCAAGTTAGTTTATTATACATTATCAAGTTAGTTTTAACAGGGTTTGACATTAACTTTTATGAGTACTAGACCAGTCGGGCTACTTCCCATAATTTTTACTAGCCCTGACCATAAAATCACTAGCCCTGACCAAACTCGAAAATTTTCTTTTTATAACCTGCTATTATAATGGAAAAAAGTTTCGAAACCATACTACAGTGTTATCTTTCACATGTGTTCATGTATACATTTTGACAGACTGTTCCATAGGTAGCAGCCCATTGAGCCCATAGGTAGCAGCCCAAAGAGTCAACATGCGAATGTTATAAGCTTTAAAGAACATTAATTCAAGGAACTTAAATAAAATTATTAGGGTAAATATACATGTAAATAAATTAAAAACTATATTATTCAAAGATTCTTCATACCAAATAATACTGAATGAAGCTAGTTTCGATTGTGACTTGTCTATTACAGCCGGTCTCAAAAAATAGCAATTGTGTCATGCAGGAAAGTTTTCTTTTTCAGAGCAATGGCTGTGTTTGCAATCGGAAAATTAAGAAAATTTCTTTTAAAAGTTTTTAGAGCATTTATTTGAAAGACTGAAATGAGGGTTAACATATTTATTTCATCCATACGACCAGTCGGGCTAGTTATTGAACATTTAACATGCATTTACTAGACTGGGTCAGTCGGAAGTGCCTTAGTGTCAAACCCTGTTTAATTACTTTTCACCAAATTCATTTTAAAAGTTAAAAGGCTAGCCAACTAGATTCATTTAGTCCAACGCTGATTCCTTTGCCCAATTCCCAGGAGATATAGATAACACCTGCTTGATCAGAGATGCTCTACCAGTTAGTTCCTCACACTAAACTCATTAATTTCTCTCTAATTTGACTTCTCTCTAATTTGACATGTAATTTTCTGTTATCAAATTTCTCATTGACCAGTGCTTGATAATTACACCAATGGGAGAGGTGGAATTTCTCTTATAACATTACATTTGTTATAGATTGCTGTAAAGTATATAATGAAAAAAAAAAAGAGTATTTTCTTGATTTAACATTTTTTTAATGAGGATACTGCAACATTCTTACATTTTTGGGGATTGTGTAATTTAACAGTATAGAGACACAGTTTTTTAAAAAAAAATTCACTAAATTAAGGGTCACAGTGACCTATAATAGGTTGTGACACACCTTCTACCTAAGATGCATAAATTGGCCAAGTTTGATGATTCTAAGTCTAATAGTTTTCTAGTTATGAGCCGGACAGGATTTTTCCATATTTGGCCATAGCATCTTAATTAAAGGTCAGAGCAACCTACTTTTAATGCATGACACACCTTCTACCCAAGACGTATCAGCTGACAAAGTTTGATAATTCTAGGCCTAATAGTATAAAAGTTTTGAGCCGGACACAAAAAAGCTAACAGACGGACAGAAGACAGACATGAAGGCCATAACATATTGTTATACCTTTAAAAATTTGTTCCTATATAAATCAATACTAATAAAAGTCTAACATTTCCAATGTTTTACTGAGCGGGCATAAAAACATCAATGTTTGACCGCGGAATGAGATATTGGACCTGTCGATGAGATGTTGGACCATTTACGTCACATAATGGGCGGGGCCAGCTAAATCTCATTTGCATTCGTTGGTGTTCAACATATATGTATGTCAAAAAAAAATTAACTAGAAATCTGACCAGTCAGCAAGGGCTCTGCCGAGGGGTAGAAATACATGTATAAGGGTGCAGATTAGGGGATGAGAATTTTACTTGATTACAAGAATTTAAAAATATATAATATACAATTAATTACCCCTTATGAGGTCAACATGGTAAAATAAGGACCCGTGACCTGGCCCACGAGGTGACCTGACCTGACCGAGGCCGCGTAGCGGCCGAGGTCAGGTCAGGTCAGCGAGTGGGCCAGGTCGAGGGTCCTTATTTCACCATGTTGAACTCATAAGGGGTAATCAATTGTTTTATTATACAGATATAAGTTAAGGCAATTTTTGTAAGCTTAATTACTAAAATAATCAATAAAATGTATAAGACCTACGAACTGTTATCAGTGTT